GCAGGCCACCCTTCCCTCTTGCCTTCCATCTCACCAGTGACAGCAGCAGGCCAGGCACGGTGGGGAGACCCATGTCCGGCCGGCAGTGGCCTCTCACTCCCCCATTGGGGCTGGGGACAGTGCAGCGACGGGCAATGCCGGTGAATGAAGTGAGCCGATCGGACCAGGTGGCCCGGGCAATGGCAGCCGGGGCGTCAGGTTAGTGCAGCGGGAAGTCGAGGGTGGATAGAGATCAGGGCCCGGTCCTCCAGGACCTCGAACCCAGTAGGCCCGGTTAGGAGGCAGAGTTCGGAAAACTCGGAGAAAATTAAAGCTGAGAGGAGCGAGGAGGTAGGAGGGGAAGGGAGAGTGGCGGGGGTGGTGTTGCAAGAGCGGGTACCGGAAGAGCCTGGGGAGAGGCGAGGGAGGAGGGAACCAGGAGGAGAGAGACGAGGGCCAAGGTTCTTTTAACGCTTTGTAGCCTGGGTCCCACAGCCTGACGCCCCAAACCCACTTAACACGAACTAGTAACACCTAGAGTTTCAGAGTCAAACTCATCGAATTCCAGTTCAGACGCCTCTGCTTTTTAGGTGGGTGAGCTTAGACTAACCGCTCCCCCCGCCCACACACACACACAAGGTTGTTCTCAAACTGACAGAATGAAGATAGCCTTTCTCGTGGGCTAGCAGCCAGGAGTTGAGGGAGGGTAGTGCCTGGTGAGTCCTCTAAGTCCCTCAGCAGCCCTCCCTTCACCCCAGGGTTCCCTCTGGTCCCACTTTCTCCCGGTCCTTCACCCATCCAGCCCAAATGGAAAACCAATGTAGTTTTCTACTCTGCCTGGGGCCTGACCCACTCAGCCCCGTCCCACTGATTTTCATCTGTTCTCTTTCAGACAGGTTCCCTCGCTGCCCACCATGACTCTGCCACCAACAGTGTGTGTGTGTGTGTGTGTGTGTGTGTGTGTGTGTGTGTGTAAAGCCCCCCTCCTAAGCCTTGGTTGGCTCCCCAGTTATTAAATGAGAGTGAAAAATGCCTGCCCTCACATAGGGTGCTGTGAAGACTCAGTAGGCCATGTCTGTAAAGATGCTTCCCATTAGCCAGGCGGTGGTGGCACTCAGCTTTAATCCCAGCACTCGGGAGGCAGAAGCAGGTAGATCTCTGTGAGTTCCAAGGCCAAAAAGAAAAAAAAAAAAAAAGATGCTTCCAGTTCTGAAGGGTTCCCAGGGCCCTTTTCCTAAACACACTATTTTGTATCGACTGAAATGGGGTTTCATTTAGCCCAGGCTGGCCTCACACTCACTGTGTGGCTGAGGCTGGCCTTGTGCTTCTGATCCTCCCACCTCCTACTCGCGGAGATTACAAGTGTGCATGGCCCACACCCAGCTCTAGATAGTCTGATGCATCCATTGGGACAGACCCCAGAGATAGGATACCACATCCTGGAGCTTTAGGGGTAAAGAAAAAGCCTCAAGACGCTGCTCGCTGGGAGGCAGAGCACAGAGAACCCGGATTCTGGTTCCCATTACAAGGCTGTATTGTTCTCTCTGCCCCTTTGAGTGAAACCTCACCTCTTGCCTGCCAGCCCTTACTAGAGTGGACACCTTCTGCCAGTCCCATGTGTGCAGGTCTTCTCCCAGGTGAGAGAGTGGGACACTGGGACACTGGGACACTACACTCCTGTGCCCTTGGGATTTAGTGACTGTCTTTATGTGTGCCAGTTCTGCCTTCAGCAGCGGAGACTCTCAGACCTGCGAGGAGAATTCAGGAATGGGGACCTAGGGCTGAGGGACTTGAAACCAGAGTTCCTGGCCATTCTCCCCATGAGCCATTGCTGACCTCCAGCCTCCAGTATGCCCACCCTGATGTTTCCTCTCCCCTCCTCTTCTTTTCTCTCCTCTCCCCTCCCTTCCCCTCCTCTCCTCTGCAATCCCCAAGACAAGCCCTCCCAGAGCATCTGGAGGTATCCCCACTGCTGGAGACCCACTTCCCTCCATCAGACTATGCAGTTTTCAGTGTGAATAAGCCAGGAGAAATAAATGGGAGGGGGTGCCTCAAGGTATAATTTAGTGGCAGAGTGCTTGCCTACCGTAAGCAAGGTCTTAAATCCATCCCTAGCGTCCATGTGCGCACACACACACACACACACACACACACACACACATTAAAATAGACAAGAAACCCATATGGTTAGATTCATATGGAATATTAGTAGGTGTTTGCCACATGTAAGTATCATACAATATCAATAATTTGTATTAATAATGAATAACAATATTGAGGTCCCATGTTTAACATTACAAGGAACTTTAAATTGTCTGTGCAAACTGCCAAAGCCATTAATACTCAGAGCCCGGCGCAAAAGGGGAATTTTTTCCTTCATGGCTTAGGATAAATGCTGACTTTCCTGGGTACGGGTGAAGCTTTGAGCCAATGTGGTACTAAAATGCTCCCTACAGCTCGGTTCCAGAAGGGAAGAAGGGGTGAACCCGAACCCGAGGGTGTGAAAAGTCAGCCAGTTTTTTGGAGGAGATAAAAAGGTAAGAAGATGACCCCAAAGCCAGGCTGCTGTCACATGCCGACAATCCAGCACTTGTTGCTCATGCAGAGGATCAGGGCTGGGGTCCCAGCACCTACACAGCAGCTGATAGCTGTCAGTGACCCCAGTCCCACGGGATCAGACAGCCTCTCCTGGTCTCAGATATGCATGGGTGCACAGACATACATGCAGACAAGACAGCTATACACATAAAATAAAAACAACGAATCTTTTTTGTTTGTTTGGTTGGTTTTATTTTGCTTTTTCTGTGACAGTGTTTCTCTGTGTCACAGCTCTAGCTGTCCTGGAACTCGCTCTGTAGACCAGGCTGGCCTCGAACTCACAGAGATCTGCCTGCCTCTGCCTCCCGAGTGCTGGGATTTATCGGCATGTACCATCACTAATCTTAAAAAAGAAAAGGAGCTGGGGAGATGGCTCAATGGTTAAGAGAAATTGTTGCTCTTGGAGAGGACCCAGGTTTAGTTCCCAGAACCCACAAAAATGACTCACAACCACCCATAACTCCAGTTCTTCTAAGAGATCTGGAGTCCTCTTCTGACTTCTGTGGCCACCAGGCATACATGTGGTGCACACATTCATGCACTCAGGCACAATACTCATATACATGATTTAAAACAAACAAACAAAAAAGAAAACCACCCCACTTTTTGAAGGAAGAAAAGAAAATGTGGTAGTGGGCAGATCAGGGGACTAGAACCGGTGGGTGGGGAAGGCAGACCAAAGGCTGAAGGAAAGAGCCTCAGAAAACAGCCTCTCTCCCCCACCCCCACCGCCCACACATGCATGTGTACATTGATTCCAAAGGGCGCTGGGCTCCAAGTCCCTGTGACGTGGGCCCTGGCCGCAGTCCTGCCATTCAGTACCCAGCCTTACAGAGAGGCCAGGTGAATCAGTGGGGAGCAGCCTGGTTTCAGGAGGCTCTGTGAGAGCGACAGTCCAGGGTAAGTTACTTCACCTGTCAAGGCTGGTGAGGACACGGCAGAGAACTGAACCCCCCCCCCCTTTCCGCTAACGCTCTGGTCCCACCTCCAAGGAGTGGTCTTCAGACAAGAAGCAAGATAAGGACAGACATGGGGTGGCAACGCAGGTGGATAAGAGGAACCTGGAGCTGGGAGAAGGTGGGGAGCTGGCGGGGGAGGGGGGGAGACAAGGGGCCAACAACGACTATAGCCTCCAGAATAGATCCAACCAGGGATGGGCAGGGTAAGGCTGGGGCCAAACAGAGAGGGTGAGAAGGCCAAAGCAGCCACACCTGAGGCTCCGACAGGGACAATGTTGAAACAGTATCATTTCCTGCCATTTACAGGAGTCTAGGAAAGGGAAGTCAAACTCTTCACGTGGCACGCATGACCGAAGTCCCTGTTCCTTCTCTTTCTACAAGATCCCCTTCTCCCTCATGCCTTTGATCCCAGCCCTCAGAGGCAAATAGATCTCTGTGAGTTCAAGGCCAGCCTGGTTCACAGAGTGGGTTCCCTGAAGATGGGGAAAAAAGATCCCCCTTCTCCTCTGACTCCCAAGGATAGAAATTGTGATGAGTGGGAAAAATAGGAACCAATTCCCCAAGTCTTATTCCACAACGCAATAAGACAGGGTCGCTTTTGGTTCTCAGCTCTGATGATTGGATGGGCAGAGGAACTGCAGATGAGAAAAGTGGGGTTCCACTCAGACATTCCCCAGTTTCTCTTTACTGAAGCCAGGAGGGCTTCCTCTGCCCCTCTCACTATGAATAAAGAAGACTAGCCAAGGCTCTGAAATTCTGGAAGAACTGGTCTGGGTCTTATCCTCCTCTACCACCAGGGCGGTGATGGGGAGGAGGGTGGCAGAGGTTACATCACAGCTGGGTGGAGTCTGGTACCACTAGGGTGTGTTGGGGAGCAGGGTGGCAGAGGTTACATCACAGCTGGGTGGAGTCTGAGGAAGAGCCTTCTTGATGACGTGGAGGAACAACAAGTTTGGCATGGCTGTCTGTGCCCTCCCCTCCACTCTAGGGCCTCCCCAAAACTAGACAGTGCCTCTGGGGCTTGCATTAGCTCCCTGCCCATTTCAGGGGGCCCCATCCGGATCTGCAGACATTGTTTTATGTAACAAGGCTTTATTGGGTACCTGTCTGCCTGCTCCAAGTGGGCTCGACCTCAAGGATACAAAAATGAGCAAAACTCGGCCCTGGCCACAAGGAGTTTACGGCCTATTCAGGGAGGCAGATAAAAAAGAATGTGAACACATAATATAGTGCACTATGGAGCAAGGGGAGTGGGGATAATCCTGGCAGAGACAGGATAGGGTAAGAGGTCATAAAAGTAATGGTGTCTAAGGTGCACAGGGGCCTAAAGGATGCATAGAAGTTCTCTCGGAGATGGTCGAGGAAGCTTCAAGACTGAGAAAATAACTAAGACAAACAAGTATGAAGGGCCCAGTGCAGAGGCCCTGGGGTTCGGTGTATCAAACGAGACAAGAGTCTTGGAAGTGAAGGCGAATGGTCAAACCTTTACTATACTTGTCTAACTCTAGCCCCCAGAGGGGAGTCGGGAAAGGGGAATTGCCAAAGAGCTAACAAAGGGGGCTTTTGGGTGGGGTTCCCCACCCAAGTTCAAGAGGGGGAGCAGCCATCTGTGTCTCTGAAGGCGGTGAGGCCAGGCCAATCTCTGGTCACGGGGTAGGAAACCTGTGGCTGCTTTTCTGCGCCTTGTTTATAGTTGTTCCTTGGTCGCTTCCCAGGAAAGCTCCTTGTCAAAGCTCCAAGTCTGGCTTGGCTGATCCAAGGGAAAAGGAGACTTGTCTGAGCTTGTGCGGAAAGCAGTGTTCAGAAAAAGGAGCCCGGCAGCTCAGAGCAGCAGCTCATCAGACACCCTTCTCTGGACAGCTTTCTGGGCCCCTTACTTAGCCCACTCCCTCAGGCACACCAAAGACAGTTGGGCAGCTGTGGACGGTGCCACTGAAGAGGAGATGGTCTTCAGTTTACCCCGGGGCACTGGCCTGGGTGAGAGAAGCATCCTGCTCTCTCAGCGTTCCCCCAGAGCACAGGCAGAAGGGCCAGGCACTGCGGAGTCCAGCGGATGGGCACGGGGGCCTAGGGTGGCATATGCAGGCGGTGGGGCCGTCAGGGCCGGGGAAGGGGTTGTGCCCTGCTGGGGCAAAGAGGGCAATGGAGATGTAGGGTGGGGACAGAAACGGGAGGGGAAGGAGGAAGCTGGGGTGGAGGCCACTTCCCTGGCACCCCGGGCCCCTCGTCCTGGAGACCAGTACCGGCTTCGAAACCTGTGCAGCAGCATGAGGACTGTGATGACCAGAAGGTCGAAGATGAGCTCTGCCATCTCCACCACGGACAGCACAGAGGAGCCAAACCACAGGCTCCACTGGCTGCCCAGGTTGGACAGGAGGCTGACCATCTGCCGAGAGAAAGAAGCACCCGCACCCTTACCAAACCAGCTCCCTTTGCACCCGGGAGCAAAATGGGTCTCCCCACAATACAGGGGCAGCTCCTGCCTATCATGCCCCACAGAAAAATGGTCATGAGACCTGAAGAAACTGGGGTGCATCTCAGGGGCCTTTTCCCAGGTGTCTGTCACACATCCGTGCCTCCCACTACCAGACCTCACATCCCAGATCCCTCCTCTGATGATCTCACCTTATCCTAGACTCAACTTCCTTTTCCTTATCTTCTACGTCTCCGGCACAAACCCTTCTGACCCCACAAAGGCAACCCCTCATCCTCCCTCAGAGCTATCCTGCCAAACCCCCAGGAGACCCAGGCTCCCTAACTAAGGCAGGCCCTACCGTGACAGAGGGAGACTCCGAATTTGTTTTATAGTTCAGTTCCTTGAAGTAGATGTTGAGTTTAGCAACTCCATTTCTTTGGGAAGGGGGAGAGAGCGGGAAGAAATGCTGGAGGGTTAATTCCAAGGCCCCTTTTCCCAATACCCACATCAGAACCCCCTTTCCTCCCCAAGGATCCTGCCCAGGAGCTCTGGAGCAGGCCTGACCTTTTGTTGCTGATTGTGTAATTGTTCTGCAAGGACAGCATCTGGAAGATCCAATCCTGGAAAAAAAATAGGGGTGGAGGTGGGAAGGAGGTTACCCCTGTATCCCTCAGGTTTTCAGGGATGGATGGAATCACTCATATGTAACAGCATGTATAATTCTCAGAGGTCCTCTATGTTATACATGCACATTTGCATGTGCAACTATGTTCACATGCACATACATCCCTCCTCTCCCCACTTTACCTGGGACTTCACAGACGGCCATCGTGAGTAGCCAGCAGAGAGCTTGTAATTGGTCACACTGTGAACAGATTGAAGGGTTCAGTGAAGGAGTGGGGTTCTGTTTGCTACCCCTATCCTACCCAGCTAAGCAGTCCCTGCCCAGCCCACACTGGGGAAGGACCCTTACCTGCACGGCTTCCGACACTTGGAGAAACAGCCCAGGCTGTCCAAGGAGAAGGCGCCCTGCAGCTTGTAGTAGCAGTATCCTGTGGGTGCAGAGAGGGCCTGTTTTCTGAGGGCATCTCCCCCTTCTCCACACACAGAGCCTTCCACACCATCTGGGCACCCACTTTACAACAAAAGCATTTCAACAGCACCTCAGGAATGGCGACCACACAAAACTGTTCATGAAATTAAGCTAAGCTGGGGACAGGGGACAGCCACAGAAATATGTGTTCAAAAGGCACAAAAACTGAAGTCAGAGAAAATGGGGACAGCGATTGCATAATAAAGGGGTTAAACCACATGAGATACAGTTTTACACTCATTAGGAAAGTTGTTCTAAACAAAACTGCCAGTACCACTGGGACAGTCATTTACTCCTGCTGGGAATCCGAGATGGTGCAGCCACCTCCAAAAGTATGGCCGTCCCTCAGAAAGGCTAAACAACTAACATGAACCCAGCTGCTCTCCTAGGTGCGGAGGGAGAGAACTGGGAACGTAAGCCCACACGAGGACATGGACACAGATGTTCACGGCAGCATTAGTCAGAAAGCCCCAACTTAGAAACAACCAAAATATCCATCGACTGGCTACGTGGATAAACAAGATGTACAACCAGCTGGGGACAGTGGTCCACACCGGTCATCCCGGCACTCATGAGCCTCAGGCAGGAGGATTGCTGTAAGGCTGAAGCCAGCCTGGGCTACAGGATGAGGTTCTGTCTCAACGAACAAAGGTTTTATAACTGCAACAGGAGACTACTCTGTCACAATGTGCATTAGCATGGTTGGACCCTGGAAGCATGTTATGAGAAAGAAGCCGGGGCAAAGGTCATATGCTCATGACTCCGTTGACATGAAATGTTCAACACCTGAGCTAGTGGCTTCCCAGCAGCTGGCATTGGGGGCTGGGAAATTTGGGGGACTACTCATTTTACAAATTTTTGGGGGGAATGATTTTAAGAATTCTAAAATTGATGGTGATCATGGGACCAGAATTAAAGCCCAGCATCAGAAATGGCAACTATATTTAACTAAAACCATATGGTTTGAGTGAGTGAACTCTAAGACGCAAATTACCTCAGTAAAACAAGAAGGAAAGGAGGAGAAAAAGGGGGCATGGGGCCCTCCAATGGGACTGAGGAGCTCCAAGCATTTTTAATCTTAAAAGAATTATTGAGACAGACAATGGTGGAGCATACTTTTAATCCCAGCATTAGAAGGGAGAGGCAAGCGAATCTCTGAGTTCAAGGCCATCCTGGTCTATATAGTGAGTTCCAAGACTGCCAAGCTATGTATCAAGACCCCATCTTAGCAAATAAATAAATATAAGAACGTAGGCTGGTGGGATGGCATATGCCTTTAACCCTAGCACTTAATCCCAGAGAGAGGCAAGTGGATCTCTGTGAGTTCAAGGCCAGCCTGGTCTACCCAGTGAGTTCTAAGATAGCCAGGGCTACATAGAAACCCTGTCTCAACAAAAACAAGACAAAGAACTTGGAAAGAATTGCTGGAAAGCAGGGAGGGAAATAGAAGAGGGTTTGCCAGTCGGCCACCCACTGCCCTGCTCATCTGGGACTCGTGTCCTCTCTGCTCTCCAGGCTTCTGCCTGCTCATCTGAGAAAGCAGCTGATACCAAGTAACCTCTGAGTTCCCTCCAGTTCTGATTATCTGTGGTCCTCCAAGATTGCGGGGGGCAGAGACTGGAAGCAAGGGGCAAGGGGCAGGAGGCAAGGGGGCAGGAGACTGAGAGCAGGAAACTGAGGGCAGGAAAGCTGGGGGTAAGGGGCAGGAGCCAAGAGCAGGTAGGAAGCAGGAAACTAACTACCCTAACAAGAGAAGTGACAGGAAAAGTCCTGTCAGAAGCAGTCCAAGGCAAGAAAGCAGGCAGGTGGGACTAGGATTGAGGTGGAAGAACTCCAGAGAGCCCTCCATGTGTCCACGACTGCTAGTGCCTTGTCCCCTCCAGGATGGCTGTGGCCCACTTCCTCCCTTTCTCACCCTGCTAGAGAGCTGGGTACGTAAAGCTGGGATGATGGTTAGAGGGGACCCTAGGAGGAGGAGCTAAGGGGCCCCTGGGAGGAGGGGTTAGAGGGGGTCCCTAGGAGGAGAGGCTAGAGAGGTCCCTAAGAGGAGGGCTTAGAGGGGCCCCTGGGAGGAAGGACTAAGGGGCCCCTGGGAGGAGGGGGGTAGAGGGGCCCCTGGGAGGATGGGTTAGAGGGGACCCTGTGAGGAGGGGCTAAGGGGCCCCTAGAGGAGGGGTCTGAAGGACAAGTGTCTATGCAGATGAGAGCACACAGATCAGGAACATGAGGATCTCCTACCATCCACAGTGACCTGGTAGGACATCTTTCTCCCTGCATTGTAGCATAGCTCTGCCACAGTGGAAAGGAAAAGGGTGTGTCCGAAACAATGGCCGGATAAGCAGGACATGCCAGGGCTCTCCAACTTGTTCGGTTGTGCCCTGCTCCAGGTAAAAACATTCTCTAACAAAGGAATGTGCATTTGATTTATAAATTACATGCCTGGGGGAGAGGTGGCTCAGTGGGCAAAGGCCCTGCGCCTGATCGGAGCTGAATCTGTGAGCACCACCCCCCTACACACACACACACACACACACACACACACACACACACACAGGTGTGCAGGGAGGAAGGAACAAGGAAAGAGGAAAGGAAGGAAGGAGGGAGGGAGATAGGGAGGAAGAAAGAAAGGAAGGTTAATTTAAAAAAAAACTCCAAATTGCATCACTGGAATAGTTTCTAAAGCTCAAAGAGATGAGACAGAAACACAGGACTCCTAATAATTTCTTCCTGGGCCCCAGGGATTTGTTGGGTGCTCTACATAACCCCACCCCACCCCCCACCCCTGTTGAGCATCCCAAGAATGAGTAGGCACACCGAAGTGGCTGCCGGAGAGCTCATTAGGCACACACACTTCCTTCCTTCTGCTGCAGGTTATTTTTTAAAAAGGACAATCCCTTCACACAGGAACAAAAGCCCATGGCAGGAAGGAAGGAGGTGGAAAACAGGCAGAGACTCAGGACAGGAAAGCAACGGGGAGCTGGAGACTAGGGCAGGTGGGAGGGAGCCATCCCAGACTAGGGCTCTGGGAGCCAGGCACATAGGGAAGTGGAGGTGAGCAACGGACAGGGCAGGGGCTCTCCCAGCTCACCCCAGGAGCTCTGCTTCCGGTAGTCACAGAACTCCACATCCTTGGGCTTAGGGTAGAAGATGTAGGCACAGCCACACTCCTTGATCATGTTCTCCTGGAAGCAGGAGTGGATGCAGACCTGGAAGGGAGGGGAGGGGCAAGAGGCTTCAGGCCTGGCCCAACCTCACCCTCGGTGAGCCCCAAGTGCAGGAAGGCTGAGCCCTTTCTGCTACTTCCAACCCATTGTCTCGTCCATCCCTCCACCCCGCTGACCACTGTGCAGCCCCGAAAGGCTGCAGCAGGCTCTGTGTACCTGCTGTGTGTACTTGGAAGGGTAAAGGTTCTTGACAGGGACATCACTGCCATTCTCGGTACAGTCACCATAGTTACCTCCAAGGCTGTCCAGGGCTTCCTGTAAACCCATGGATGTCAAGAGATCACGGGGAGGGGAAACAGCCCTGGCTTTTCAGTCTTCCCTCAATCTCAACTACTAACTCACACCCTGCCAGCAACCCGTCAGCCTCCCCATCTCAAAGCATGCCCCGGCACCCCCAAACACCCCTCCTAGTACTACTTTCAAGCCCGTGCATGGGTTCAGAGCATCCTCTGGAATCCTAAGGATGTCTTGAACCCTCCTTAGCCATGGGGGTCTCCTCAAAGCCTTGTTTCCCAGGCCCCCTTGGCTAGCCCCTCCATCCAGTTCTGCTCCTGAAGACCTTCACATCGTGGAAACTACTCACGTGACCTCCCTTCAGTCTCCTGGCTACCAAGTCCACCTCTCATTTCCCATCTTCCTCTCGCTAGTGGGGCCCTCCTCCCAGGTTCCCAATCAGAGCATCCTTGCCTTCCTCATGCTGATGGAGGTCTCCACACCAGGCCGCACGTTGAAGCCACCGTCATCCATAAAGGCAGGCTCATCCTGCCCATGCACCATCACCCTGGCCCCTGTCACCGTGGACAGCAGGGGGATGAAGTCATTCTGTTCTGTGCGCAGTGTCAGAGACAGACCTGAGGACACAGTAGAAGAAGAGTTGGGGATGGAGACCCACCCTCTCGCCCTTGTAGACGAGTCCTTCATCACTGGTGGAACAAGGCCTGTAAGCCCCTCAGGTAGACTTGGTAACCCAGAGCTGGATCCTGGGCCAGGCTTAAAGCACAGAATTCCTTCCTTGCCTAGAATGGGCTATGAGGCGGGGGGGGGGGGGTAGCGGCTTTGTCCTTTGGGAGAAAGGACAGACAGACCCTTCCAGAATAGCGAGGGGCATATCAAGGTGGGACCCAGAAGGAACCCAGCATCTCCGGATCATAAGCCCAGGGAGAGGAAACATGAGTGGGGTAGGTTGGCCGGAAGGACAAAGTGGGGACAGGAGCTGCTCACCATTGTTGACTCCAGGCATGGAGGACATCCAGAGATCGGAGTTGTTCTTGTTGTTGAAAGTGTAGCAGTTCCCGTACATGGGGTGGTGGAAGCGAGAGTAATTCCTGATGGGTAAGAGAGCAAGGGCAACAGGATCAGAGAGGGGAGTACGGGGGTGAGCAGAGCACGAGGCGAGGGAGAAGAAATCATTTCCCCCCAGACTTTCAGGAGCATCTGTTTCCTGTCACCGCCTGTGTGTCCACACAACCCTGGGAGGTCGGCCGTGCTCCCTCGGTCACTCCAGTCAGCAGCCTCATTCTACATCACACAAGACAGGCCACACCGACAGGAATGGCTGACCTGGGACTTACATAAGTGATCTTGTGTATTATAGATCTTATTTTATCTTTTTCTAAAAAGCAAAACAAAAGTCTCCTAAGCTTTGTGTTTAAGATCCGCCCGTGACACCCCACTAGATCCACTGGTTCTACCTGCTACATGTCACCCATGGAGTGAACCCCCACATTCCCTCCCAGCTGGTGGGGATCCCAAGGCTGCACAGTGATGATGGGCCCTGGGCATCTCCTTGAGAGCCCAGCTTCTCCTCCTCTGATCTTACTGCTTGGTTCCTTGTGTCCTCCTGTGAAATACTAAGATATCTAAAGTGCTCCTAACTTCTCAGCATCTAAATTTTGGTTCTCCATTCAGGTTGTGACATCCTTGAGAGCAGGAACAACACCTCCTCATTTTTGAGGTCTTATTCTGGGGTCAGATGCATGGTTGCTGGCATACAGACAACACGGGAGTTCACTAATGCGCAGTTACTGAGTGTGTTTATGAGGGAAATGGAGAGATGGAGGAAAACAGCATTAGAGGAGGGGGTGAAGCCCACAGCGAGCACGGAGCAGAGGGGAAGGCGTTCGGAACACAGGGAGGGAAGGAAGCATGTTTTCCAGAGGCTTCAGTGCACCTGCATATCTCAGATTATGAGGTCCAAAGATGGTCTAAAACAGGCCTGGGAAACAATCAGAAAATCACACAGGCCCTGCTGCTACAGCAGAAGCACAGGTTGACAGCAAATTACAGGTTCCAAGAGCTATGTGGGGAGAGCGGACCTGTGTTCTACATCCTGCTGTCTGGAGATAGCAGTGGGAACAGGACAAGGGGAAAATGAGGCTCTGGCCTGTGATCAGTAGAGAAGTAAGAGAGGACACTGACCAGAGGTAAGTGTGGCTTCGGTCATGTGGCCCTGAGCTAGCCATATTTCCCACGGACAGTCTCTTTGTTACATACACAAATGCAATAAACAAATTTTAAAGAACAAAGCCCCATCCAGGTGTGGCAGTACGCTTCTGTAATCCCAGTACTAGCATGAGGCTCGCTGGGGCTACAAACTATATTAGTGAGCTCCAGATCAGCCTGGGAGAAGACCGAGGCCTTGTCCAAAAGAGAAAAAAAGGGTCAAAAGTTCAACTCCTTATATTTGAACTAACTCTAAGAAATATTACAAAGGAGCCCAACAAGTTTCTTTCTTTCTTTTTTGAGTTTTTGAGACTTTGTATAGCTCTGACTATCCTGGTACTCACTCTGTCGACCAGACTGTCTTCAAACTCAGAGAGATCCAGCTGCCCCTGCCTGGGATTAAAGGTGTATGCCACCATGCCTGGCTCAACTGCATTTCTTAATCTCCTCCTCTGTCAAATGAAGATCACAGAAACTGCTAGGGTAAGGCACTGAGGACTAAGTTAAAGTCTTAATACTTAGTAAGAACTGTATTCGCTTCCCACTAAGGTGCTAGAGATTCATCAAATTGCCTGAAGTAAAAAAGAGAAACAAGGGCTGGCAAGATGGCTCAGGTGGCCAAGGTGCTGCTGTGGCCCTAAGGCTGAGAAAACCAACTCCCTAAAATGCCCTCTGCCCACACACATGCGCATATACAAATAACTAAAGGCAGTTTGTTGTTTGTTTGTTTTTTAAGATAGACAACAATAGGTGGCGAGTGTGGAGAATTTAGTTCCCTCAAGATTGCTGGTAAAGAAGTGTGTCCCTGCACACAAGTCCAGCAGTGCCTCCAAGGGTGACACAGTGATGTGACCCAGGATGCCACTCCTATGTGCATCCAGGAGAAACTAAAACACTATCAATATGGAACCTCACTCAGGCACATGCACGTAGTGACATTCATAAAGGCCAAAGAGCAGGCATGTCCCATATCACAAGGTTGTGCTATGTCTATCCAACACGGTATTATTCGCTCATACAGGAGTTCTGACACATGCTATATATATGTACCTAATACATGCGAGGCAATAAATCTACCACTGAATTACATCCCTGTCTCTTGCATGAAATCCCCACAAAGAGCAACCCACGGAGACAGGGAGCAGATTAGTGGTTCCCAGGGCTTGAAAGGGATGGAATGGGGAAATGCTAATGGGCAAACAGGTTTCTTGGTGGTGGGTGAGAAAAATGCTCTAAAATTAGATAGGTAATGTTTGCACAACTCTAAAGATATTTTAAAACCACTAAACTGTACATATGAGAAGCAAGACTCTTACTACATGTCATGAAGGAAAAGATTATGTCTGAGGATGTAGCTCAGTGATACAGAGTGTTTGCCTACATGTTGTCAGGGCCCCGGGTTCAATCTTCACAATAACAACAACAACAACAAAAAAGCAGAAGAAAAAGGAAAGCAAAAGAGAGGAAGACAGAGAAGAGAAGGGTCCAGAAGGCCATGCTAGGGAAGTTCAGTTAGACTCACAAGGCCTCGAGGAACTGCAGAGGGTTGCATTGATTGATTGTATGTATATGAATGTTTTGTTTGCTTGTAGTATATCTGTGTACCATATGCATGCCTGGTATATGTGGAGACCAGAAGAGGGTGCCAAATTCTGTGGAACTGGAGTTATGGACAGTTGTGAGCTGCTTGTGGGTGCAAGAAACAGAGCCCGGGTCCTCTGCAAAAGCAGCCAGTGCTCTTAACTGCTGAGCCATCTCTCCAGCCCCTACTTCAGAGGACTCTGAACAGGACTGACTATAATAGTTAATATAACAAAGTCAAGCTTCCTGCTATGTTTCAAAGGTGTATCTCTGATTCTTGTTTTGGGAAATTACTTCCCAATGTGTTGGAGATGGGATCCAAGAGGAAGAGATAGGGTCACGGGGTGAATCTTCATGAATGGATCGGTAGCATTACCACGAGTTCAAGGGAGGGTTAGCTATTGTAAGACTGGGCTAGTATTTAGTCAGGTTCCTTCCCACTTTCTCTTTCACATGCTCACTTTCCCTTCCTCTTTAGCTCTGTCATGCTGTGGGAGCCTCCACCAGGTTCCGGCACCAGGCTCTTGGACTTCCCACCCTCTAGTACTATAAGAAATGGACGGACGTTTTTCTTCACAAATCGCCCAGTCTGTAGTATTCTGTTCCAGCAAGAGAAATGGACAAAGACTTCCTGGGAAGAACGGGGCGGGGGGGGAGGAGGACTTGGAGGCAGAAGGTCAGACATCTTGCAAGGTTGTTTCAACAATCCTACTGAGGAAGGAACCTGCGTGCCAAGACAAAGATGAACTGTGGGCTCGCTGGGAAGGGAGGCAAGAGCTTGGAGTGGACAAAGGCAGAGAACAGGGACAAAAACCCCAGGTGGAAGGCGCCAGAGAGGCTTGGTGACAGGTGCGGCCGGCCCAGGCTTAGCTGCCTCACTCCCCAGCTGCTCGCTTTCATCCTTAGACAAACAGAAAGGACAGACAGGTACAGGCGCACGTGAGCGCATGGGGCAGGTGACACCTGGCCCTGCTGCCACTCTAGTGACACAGGAGGGAAGGGCCCCCCTGCAGAGTAGAGCTATTGCTTCAGTGCCCTTCCTCAGCCACGCAGGAGATAGCCCTTGAACACCAAGGATCAGAGGTGATAGGAGGCCAGAGGCGACAGAAAGAAGCCCCCTTACTTCCACCTCCTGCCAGTTCTCAGAGAGCTGGAATAACTGACTGTGACCTCTTTGGAAGGACACCATGACAGGGGTCCTCACAGAAATCCCTGAGGGACAGTGGAATGTAGAAATCCTTAGGACAGCCTATGCCTCTGGGCATGACACTTCTTCTGTTTAGGTGCAAGAGGGCTGACCCCAGCATGCCCTGGAGCGTATAAGGGTGCCATCTCACTGGATGCCACTCTTAAAATAGGTGTTAGCGTCATTGTCTTCACATCACTTGAGTAAAAATGCCAAGAGGGCAAGGATTGTATGTATATATGTGTGTATGTATGTGTGTATGTGTATATATATATGTTTACTTCTTCCCCTGTACTATATCCCACACTCCTACAACAGAGTCTGGAACTTGGCCGCACAGAAACTTTTATTGAATAAATCTCCTTTCTTGTGTTTTGATTTGTTTCCACTTTACAAAGAAAAGGTTCGGAAGAATGGTGTAATGGTGTGAAATGAGAGATTCACCAGGCCGAGAGACAGAAGTACAGAGGAGACCTGGGTTGAGACCTTCAGCCCACGGATCTCAGCACACTGCTGTCTACAGGGGACCTGCTGGGGCACAGACTCGGGCGTCTGGCTAGGGCTTCTGCATTATCCATCTTGTGTAGTCCCTCACCTAGCCAACAAGCATTTCCTGAGCCCTCAGGAGGACCCAGGAAGAACTGAGCCACCAGGGTTTACTCACGCCTGGTCGCAGGGGGCCTGGTTGAAGCGGCAAGTGAAGATGAAGTTGCCCAAGGCTTCTTCCTCTAGGGATGGCAAGGTGTCAGGCAGTCTGGACAGAATGTTGATGTAATGGAAGCGGTACCACTCCCTCACTGCATCCACCCCGGATGAGTACGTCTGGTAGAAGCAGTCTGATTTGTTCTGGTTGCACTGCACACAGAGATCGGAATGTCAGTGTCCATAAGAGAGCCACCAAGGTCAAAGATAGAGAGGTGAGGTATCCCAAGGGCTGATGAGCAAGTCTAGGGAACAGGGTGTAGGTAGAACAGAAGGGGAGAAACACAGTCACCCCTAGGAGAGTTGACTAGAGGAACACAGGGCCCAGGCGGTGGTAGGTAGTGTCTCCTCACTGCAGCTTCTTTACACAACTAGGCAAGAAGAGAAGCAAGAATTCTCCCCATCTCACTGGTGTGAGAACTCAGGGATCAAAAGGCTTGTTTCCACAATAGAGATGGCCTAGAACTCCCACATGGCAGTGGTCCGGCCCATCTCTCCAGGGCCTCCCCTTCTCCAGGACCTCCCCTTCTCCAGGGCCTCCCCTTCTCCTTCACTAGCTGACCCTCTCCCATTTCCTCCTTTAGTATACATGTTTAGGGTCTGGGAATGTAGCTCAGGGGAAGAGCCCTTGCTAAATACAGACAAGGACCTGGGTTTTACACACACACACACACACACACACACACACACACACACACGTCTCATTTTACTAAGTGCCTAATTTACTTGCCCTCTGTTACAGGCTTGAAGAACCTCAGTTCTCTGTTCTGTCACCAGAGGGTCTCAAGTGAGTCCCATCAATAAGGACTAGAATTTAGAAATGTATATTTTCTGCATTACTTTACTTCCTGCCGCTTATCCCTTGCCACACAAGCTGCCAGCAAAGTGGCACAAGTGGCTGTAGTGTTCGTTTTTTGCGTCCGTCCGTCCGTCCGTCATCCATCCATCCATCCATCCATCCATCCATCCATCCATCCGTGTTACTTTCAGTCTGACAGAGTGGGCGGAGCCATTGGACCGGGTGAGCGCGTGGGCGGGCCCTGGACCGAGGGGCGGGGCTTACCAGTTGGAAGCCGATCTTCCAGTCCTTCCTGTCCACTTGGGGGTTGTTGTCGCGCACACTGGAAGACGAGCTGCGTGCGGAGCGGGCTGGGTTGGGCGGAGGCGGTGTGTATATTCGCTGCAAGGGGTACGGAAGAGCACTCCTGAGGTTGCGGGTGCTGCGACGGTGGGCCCCAGCCTTGACAGTGTAGGAGTAGTTATATTTGTATAGGTCAAAGAGCGTCTGTTCCGTGATGCGGTCCAGTTCTTCCAGCTCCTCTTTAATTTCAGTGTATCTGAAATGGCCAACGGGAAGAGGTCGGTCTAGGGGTGGCCCGCCGCTGGACCATGTTTTCCTCAATAAACGGAGGGAATCAGTGATCGCTCTGATGGCTCCAGAACTGTCTGGGAGTTAAGTGTATAAACAGACGTGTTTGCAGTGGAAGCCTAGGCCAGGACTTTGTCTGTTGCTGCCTGTTTGCCCGGGATGGGGGGTGGGGGCCCTTCACTTCCTTAGCCTGGCAGCTCAGGTCATCCTGCCCCATCCCCTTTGGGGAGGGTGGCCTTTGGAAGTGCCTGTCAGCTGTGTCTTCAAATCCAGACTTCTCAGCAAATGCACTTTCAGAATCTCCTGAACTGCTGTAAAAATACCAGATGTAGTTCCCACCCTTCCCTTCTCCAGAGGCTTCACTTTAATGAGATTTGGAACGGACCCAAACACTGTCCCATATAAATCCTTACATTCCTCATTCTCAATACTGGCCATATTATTAACTGCATGGTGGACATCCACATAGCTGGCCTTAGAATTACAATCTACGAAACAAAATACAGATGGTAAATTAAACCAGGCTGCGGGATGCAAAATCAATACACAAATATTAATTGTATTTCTAAATAGCAAGAAAAAAATAGAAAATGAAAATAGCAGCAACGCTGGGGCTGAAGATTGACTCTGCAATTAAGAATACTCATGCACTTCCAGAACCCGAGTTCAGTTCTCAGCACCCACGACTGAGCGCTCACAACCCCTGTAACTGAAGTTACAGGGAAATCTGACTCCAGTCACACTCACACATGTGGCATACACTCAGAGACATGAGCATGTACATATAAATAAAAACATTTTTAAAAATAGAATTTTGAATAAATCTGATAAACTTAGGAGTAAATCTGATTTAAAAAAAAAAGATAAGCTAGGTTTCTTCCACTGAAGAGCACACTGAAACCCTGCTAAAGACCAAGAGTCCAAACACAAGGAATCACACAGCTGGCCATGCGCTAGATGTCGCCGGGTCTCCCAACTTGGTCTTTAGATTCCATACAATCCAGACCCTGAATTCAGCAAACATTTTAAAAGTAAGTGGAAGGCGGTTCGCAGGACTATGGAAATTCAGAGTCAGCTCAGGCTGACCTCCAATTTGAAATCTTCCTGCCTTAGCCTCATGGGCAGCTGAGCTTACTTACAGGTACATGCAACAACAATGCTTGTTTGCAAAGAACCTGCTATGGCCAAAACAACTGTGGAAAAGAAAAAAGCTGGAGGATTTGCACTACCTGAGTTTAATATTTACTGTAAAGGGGGCTGGGGAAATGTCTCAAGAGGGTAAGAGCACTGGCTGCTCCTCCAGAGGACCTGGGTTCAATCCTCAGTACCCACGTGGTAGCTCACAACCATCTTGAACGCCAGTTCCAGGCTATTCATCCTCTTTCAGCCTCCATGGGCACTGCATGCTCATGGTGCCAAGACAAACATTCAAGAAAAACCCTTATACACTTAAAATATAGTAATAGTAACAATTTTAAAGTATTTACTGTGCCAGGCATGATGGCATACATCTTTAATCCCAGCGTTGGGAAGATAGCAGCAGGCTGAGTTCTAGGTCAACCTGATGTACATAGTGATTTCCAGGTCATCCAGGCCTACATAGTAAGAACTTGTCTCAAAAAAACAACATATATAATATATGTAAAAGAGGAATTGACTGGAAACGTCCAATATCTTGACTATTAAGTGTCACTTAAAGAAAAAATTCAAGAATCAAGTGTGGCAGTACCCTCCTTTAATCCAGCACTCAGGAAGCAAAGGTAGGAGGATCTTTGAGTTTGAGGCCAGCCTGGTCTACAGAGTGAGTGCCAGGACAGCCAGGGCTGCGAGAAGAGAAACTGTGTCTCTAAAAGGAAAAGAAAGCAAACAAACTTCCTGCACTAATGAAATGACCTACTACTGCCAGGGATGCGGGATCATACACAAATCCCATTTTGTTTTGTTTGTTTTTGTGGTGCCCGGGATCAAACCCAGGACCTCATAAATGCTGGGTACTGCCTCTGCTCACCACCACGGAGCCACACCTGCAGCCCAAGGCTATTTAAAAGCTCATCCATGGTCCTAATGTACCACCGTTCAGTTTAAAGCCTCCCAGTCCCCTCCTTTGGGCTCTGTTTTCATCCTGAAAGTCCACTGGCATCGTCCTTTTTGTACCCAGCCCCATATCTCTTCTCAGGAGAAAAGAGAGCTCAGATCCAAGGTGTGTGTCCAAGGCCTTCTGAGAGACTGATATGGCATTGATGATTTTAAGAATGGCCGTGCCAACTCGTATGAGCACTTTTGAGGAGCCAGGCACAACCATTACCTATACTGCATGTTGATTTGGGCTAAAACCATCGTGATGTCCTTTTCTAAGATAAAATGGCCAAGACATAAGTCAGAACGTGCCCCAGTCTTGGGTGTCCTCTATTCTGTCCCATAAAGACCACTAGAGCACACACACACACACACACACACACACACACACACACTGCCCCCTGCTGGAAGGGTACACTGGTATCCCAGCTATATAATGTTGGGTAAGGAATCCGACATCTGTGATTCCCAGCCTTGGCTGCCCATCTGTAGAATGGACACAGAAAGTTCTGGAAAGACGAAATAAGGGAATGCTCAGGGACACAAAGTGAAGATGGCCAGACCCGGGGAAGGCGAGCAGGAGCCTGACGCCCAGGGAAGTGTCATACAGGAAGAATCCAGGTCCCCAGCTCTGCTGGGATTATTTCTGTAATACAGGTCACCACCTTCACCTCCCTCTTCCTCATCAGTACGTTACCACTTCTCTGTCTTCACCAAACTCTTCCCCACTGAGCCCATATCGGTCGGCTTCCTCTGGCCTCTTCTGGACTGGGTGCCTATGAACACCCCCCTCAGCAGTCTGGTCTCCCAACCCTTGATCCTGCACCCGCGTCAAGTTCCATGCAGGAATCTCTCCCTCCCCAAGGGCACTCCTCTCCATAGCATTCCCAGGTCACCTTCCTAACGTCTTGTCACGAGACGTTTGTGTGACAGGATTCCGAGCTTAGGACTGGCACTTGTCAAAGCACAGTAAGCACTCAGTTCTTGTCCTGAGACCAGGGGCTAGACAAAGGAGTCAAGACACTTCTGATGGGATGTTCTTGAGATGATCTACCCCATGTGGCCTTGACTTCCTTCTTGGGCCATGCTTATTGCCCTCACTCCTGTCTGTCTGTCTCTGTCTGTCTGTCAGGCAGCCCACCTGTGGGAGGTGGGTGAACTCCCTACTCCAATTCTACCAGCCCTTACTATCTTCATTCCACGACTCAGGAAACCGAGACCCATCCATAGGCTACCATGTTAGGGTCACTCACCCAGGAAATACTGAGCTAAGCCTCAAACCCAGGCTTGTTGGTCTCCACAGTCCCTGATTTTTTTTCCCCACTACTCCTGGCTAAGGAGTGTTCAAAATTGACCATCGGCATCTCCTTTCTCTGAAGCTAGCCCCCCGCCCCCCTCGGCCCACCGACTCTCCTTCTCTGAAAAGGACAGGCTGGCAGGATACAGGAATCCTAAGAGACTGGGACTGACACACCCTATTTTCCCATCTATGTCTACTCCTCCATCTCTGATGTATTTAAAAGACTCCCAGACACCCACCCAGGGACCTCTAAAGCATTCCTGGTCGGCATTCTGGAATACTTGTAGAGTTGAGGACAAGAGACAAACCTGTCTCCTTCCTTGGTGGTGTGTACCCCTGTGCTTAGCCCTACTCTCTGCTTCATCCAGGAAAGTCTTGACTTTCTCTAATCACTTTCTCAGCCCCTGGTCTCCTGAGCAACTCTGAACAATGCTAAGGGTGCACACACACAGACCCTACAGCCCCGACTTGTATCTCTGAACAATGCTAAGGGGGCACACACATAGACCCTACAGCCCCGGCTTGTATCTCTGAACAATGCTAAGGGTGCACACACACAGACCCTACAACCCTGGCTTGTATCTCTGAACAATGCTAAGGGGGCACACACATAGACTCTACAGCCCCGACTTGTATCTCTGAACAATGCTAAGGGGGCACACACATAGACCCTACAGCCCCGGCTTGTATCTCTGAACAATGCTAAGGGGGCACACACAGAGACCCTAAAGCCCCAGCTTGTACTCTAATACATTCACATGTAGATGTCCGATAAGTAGCACTTCTCCCTCATGAGTGGGTTCTGAGCTCTGAGATCACACATGGAATTTAGTCCTAGCGATGGTAATTTAAGAGCTCATGAATTGTGGAGGGTAAAGGACTGCCAGGGTTGTGAATATGGATGCCATGCTTAGACAGATGGGTACACTGAGCTCTTCCGGCCTCAGAACAGGACTGTTGTTGCCTCTCGGCAACAGGATCCATTATTTCTTTAGGAAGGGTTGGCCAAAACGAACCCTAACTGCAGTCTCCCTTAGGCTGTCAGAGTGATACTATAAGAATTTCACATTTTAATGAGCTGGCCCAGGCTACATGGAGTCTAACCCCTAGTGACCTAAGGCGTCTTTTATGGATAGCCAGTTCCCAAAATAACAACTCATAAAACTTTTTCCTCAGCAATGAGTGTTCACCTTGTCACTGAAGTAGAAGCCTCACATAGGTGGCAAAGAGTCCCTCTTCCCAGTGGAAAGGACTAAGGACCACTATTGATGGGGACTATGCAACTGCAGTTGGTATTTTATTACCATGGGTATTCATTATTAGAGATAAGTGACGTCACAGGGGAGTATGTCCACCACTCACCTGCCATGTGACCTCTTGGTTGTAACAAAAATACCAAAAGGTACTAAAGACCTAGATTCTGATTCTCACTCCTCTCAACAGTTGTTGACTTTTAGTTTCTTTTTACTGTTAGGTTCTTGGAGCCCTTCTTATTCAGGAAGCTTGACAGGGGCCAGTGAGATGGTTTGCTGGCAAGCCAAACCACCCAGATAAACCCAGGTAAAAAGGAGAGAATTGGCACCATGACACTTGGCCCCCCACCGCCCCCCACCTAGGCACATACACACACACGCACACACGCACACACACACACACACACACACGCACACACGCACACACACACACACACATACACACTTTGCTTTTGCAGGATTTCTTGCCCTGAACCACTCCGACCCCAGTGCCAGAGTGCCAGACAGAGAAGGGCCTGAGCATTGGCCAACCCAGGCCTCAGTCTGGGCTCTCCCTGCCAGACACTTGAGTAAAGCCTACCGTCTAGACTGAAAAGAGTGCAGGTCAAGGGTGGCTTAGCAGTTGAGAGCCCCACCTCCTTCTGTGGCTCTCTGAGGAAATGGCCCTCTCTTAGGCCACTCTTGGTGCCAAGCCCCTTGCTCTGCTCTCTCCGGGAGAGAGAGGCCATGGTCTTCACTGTTCAGGTTCTTCCTTGGTTTTATTTTGTTGTTGTTGTTGGCACAGGACCCCACAGAATACAGCCTCAAACTCTCAAACTCAAGTTGTACCCAGGCCTAACCGTGGACTTCTGATTCTCCTGTCTTTATTTCCCAAGGGTCAGAATCACTGGCTTGTGCCACCAGGCCTGGATCAATTCTTCCTTAGATCCAGCCCCACGTGCCATATATTTGTGGGTTCTGTCTCCCATGGATGTGGAGGGGACTGGCACTCTCCTAGTGACTAGAGTTGAGAGCCAGAACATCCCAGCAGCCAGGGCCACCTTCTTAAATCCTCTGCCAGCTCAGCTGTGTCCCTCAGCAGGTGGACGCTCTACTGCATCTGCTCCACTCCAGGCTCTCTCTGGTGACTGCATTCTTCTGTCATCCCCTCATCCCAGCCAACAGCCATGATTCACACTCAGGTCAGCCAGCACAAGGCTGCCCCTCTCACCGGCCCTGGCTCCCCTCCCCTGCACTCCTAGCCGGGAGTCCCCTTCTTTCTGCTGTTCTTCCTTCTGGGATCCTACCAGCTGCCCCACCTTGGGAAGTCTTGCTGTCAAGTGAGAGGGAGCTTTGACGTCACACTTGTCACACTTGAGCTGGGACTTGACTGCCAGCCCGAGAAGCACTAGCTCTTAGGTGGGAACGACTTTGCATCCCAGTTTCACCACTTCCTGTCTAACTCTGTTTCCTCATCTATAACATGGAGGCAATTAAGCCATCTAATAATATTTCTTTTCTTAAAGGTCAGACATCTGGGCAGGTGGACAGGGCAGCTGAGCGGAAATCACCTACAATACCTTCAGCCTGGGTCTTTGGGGACAGCTAACAACACTATGTAGCTCTGGGTTGGCCTGGAAATATGTTGACGAGGTTGGCCTGTAGCTCACAGAGATCTGCCTCCTCTGCCTCCAGAGTGTTGGGGTCAAAGGCGTAAGCTACCATTCCTGGCCCATTTACTAAGATTTCATTCCAGTTTAGATCCATCTGGAAAACCATCTGGACAGAAGTCTGTGTTGACAGTATTGTCACTGATATTTCTTCTCATTATCAGCTATGTGGCTATGGAGCCAAGGATTTCATCTTTTTGAACCTCGATTATCTTCATCCGAAAACTGGAAATAACACAGGTGTGGTAGTGAGCGCCCTAATATCCCAGAAGTTCAAGGACATCCTGGGCTGTACTGAGATCTTGTCTTTAGAAAAAAATAAAAGAAAGCAACAAAGGAAAAAGGAAACACATAAAAATGCCCACCTCGCTAGACTTTGTGGGTTTAAGGAACTAGTGTTTAAAACATCACCCAACACTGAGTCAGGCACATAGTAGGTCTTCAGTTTCCTCCTGTATTTGGGAGTCCTCTCCTTGACCCTCCCTCCCTTCTGTGTGTTTTCTCCCCCCTCCTCCTGCAGTCACCTTCCAGTAAGCGGGAAATTTTCTGGATGGACAACTCCTCCCCAGACTGGGGCAGCGTGTGTCCACTCCCTGGGGTTTTCTCCTGGCCTGTCCAGGGCCAAGCACCTAGCAGAACCTTAGAAAATATATGACCTTAAAAGACTCACCCTGGCCTTCTCCATATCTCCTCATCTTTGTGCCCACAAATATTTACTGAGTGTCTACAACCAACTTCCAGGCCCTGGCCCCTCCCCTGCCATACTTTCTGCCACTTCTGTCCCCCACCCTGCCCGGCCTAAGGTGAAAAGAGCTCAGAAAGCCCGTTGGACAAAGGAGGCTAAGGGAGGGAACAACCAAGACTTGAAGACAAACAAGTCATGGGAAGCTTCACTTATTCCAAGTCCCACTTCTTGAGTATAAGACAAGGCCGAGTTTGGGGACCAAACTAACAGGATGAATCAGGACTGTGTCAGTATCGATGACTGTTGATTTGTCTCTGCTGGCCTCAGTTTCCTATACGTAAAACGAGGATAATACCGGTCCCGTCCCACGTCTTTGCGAATGACACAGGAGACTGTAGAGGACTTCTACCAGCCGGTTGTATTCAGCTTAGTGACTCCTACTGTGTTCATTATATGGGGGCAGTTTTGCCTCTCCAGGACAGGACTTCCCAGCCTTTGTTAATCCATGACCCAACTCTGGGCCTGACAGGCTACCTGAGGGAGCCTCCACCCGCAGCGTGTGACCAATCCCAGCCTTCCATAATTGCCTGCATTCCTGCCGTGTGTGCTCACACCCGTTCACCCTCATTCAAACACTTGTAAGAGACCTCACACTCCTTGAAGGCAGTCAGGCTCAGCTTTTATAGCACTAATCACGGAGCGCAGCAATGTTTACCTCCTGCCTCCCCCACCCTGCTTTAGCTTTTCTTCTCCAGTAGCTAGGGCAGCACCTGACCCTCCATAAAGGTCGCTGGATTATCAGCAAGCCTCTCCCGCCTGATGCCCAGCACCGTGTCTGGTTTAAGGCAGTGAATTCAAATGGTATGTACAAGCACCCAGCCCTGCCCGCCTTTCTTCCCCATGGTTAATAGTCCAGTTTCCAGACCCAACCCAGGAAAGAGCACCGATGAAACCCAAAACTTCAGAACACACCAAAGCCCTTAAAGGTCAGAGGCCTCCTGGGCAGGAGGCTAAGGCAGCAGGATGTGGCTCACCTGCATACATCAGCCAGGGACTTGGAGGACATGTGACAACCAGACTCCCCCATCCCACCCCCCTACCCTTCACCCCACACATTACCTACTCATTCCCCAGTACAGCAAACCTTCCTTCTACACGAAGATCTTATCCACCTCCACACAGCACCTTCAAGACCTGGACCTCCGCTCGCTGACCTCTCCGCTCCATCTCCACTATCATTTATTGTGGGACTGGCTGACTTTTGTGCTGCTGAGGGTGGAACTCTGGGCCTTGGGCATGCTAAGCACGTGTTATACCACTGAGCCCCCCACCCACCTCAACACACACCCAGGCTGACTGACCTGTAGGGATTAAGGGTGCAGACGGTGACGGCAGGGAAGACCAGCTTGTCTGAATTGAGGTTGATGTTGAGGCTGACGGGGTAGCTGAAGTACTCTTCGAACAGCAAGGCGAACTGCCAGTACATGACGCCGAAGGTGCAGAGCCACAGCACTGCCCAGAAGGCCGTCTTCATGCGGTTGTGCTTGGAGCATACCAGGCGGATGGCGCCGTGGATGGTGGTGTTGTTGCAGAAGAACTGGAAGAGCTCTCGGTAGGAGCGGTGGAACTCGATCAGCGCCTCCTCCTCCTCGCTGGGCTGTGGGGGCGCTGAGGGTTCGGGGCCCAGCCCCTGCTCTTCGCGCTTGTCTCCCTTCCCCAGCTCTTGCATGGACTGAAGAGGACAAGGGTCTTGTCCCTTGCACTTGTCGCCCTTCATGGAGCCCTTAGGTGAGTTGGGGAGGTGAGGGTCTAGGTCAAGGTTGAGCTCGGGGCTCTGCTGCGTTCCAGCATCATCAGCATGAAGGCAGAATGGGGCGGCCCCTGACCGTGCCCGCATCCCACGCTGAGGCCACTCTCCCCCAGTCCTCCCACCCTCCTCCACCTTTCCAGGAGCCAGCTGACCTTCTGGAGTTTGGGTCAACCAGGCAGCACTGAGCTTGTCTGGAGTGGCCACAGAGCCTCTCAGCCACCTTCGTTTGCCCGCTAGCGCCTCCTGGGTCTCCACAGCAGGCACAATGCCTGGTTTAGCTGCCTCTCCCTCTTGCCTTTCTCCTCCCTGACTGTGTGACTGGCTCCAGCTCTCACGCCCTCTTGGCCCAGCTGCCTCCTGCTTCTCTTTGGGTCTCCCTCTCTGTGCCAGGTTCTCTGAGCCTGCCTCACTTCCTCCCCTGCCTTTCCTATCTCCTCCTGGGCCCTCTTCTCGAGCCCTGGCCTCCAGCCTCCTGATACCTCCTCCACTGCCTCGGGAACCACAGGGCTGCAGGAGGATTGAGCTGCCTCCGGATCCCAGCTTCCAGGTGTGGCTGGGCAGTGACTGGTTCCTTTCCAGTTGAATCTGGCAGCCGAGCCTCTCCACCCTCTCACCTGACAGGTGCAGTGCCTGGCCCTGGAGCCCGCCCGACAGCCAAGGATGGGAGCCGCAGAAGCCTCATTAGCATCTCAATTAAAGGTGAGCTTGGCAGGGGGAGGGTCGGAGGAGGAGTCTGACCTGGGAGCTCTCCCGGGTGGGAGGGCTCTTGGGTACAGGTGAATCGGGGACCTGCTGAAGAGTTTGGGTCAGCGATTGGTGGGGGAACTGACTGGCAAGGAGACCAGGGACAGAGACTTGTGAGGTTTAGAGAACCTGAGAGGGGAGGAAGAATTCTACACACAAAAGCCAGGAAGGCAAAAGCGGAAGGAGGATGACGGTGTTTAGGTGGGGACACCAGAACAAGGAAGGTGGAAAGAGAGACAGACTGGAGGACTGGGCAAAGAGCTGAGGGAGGACGGAGGAGGAGGAAAAGGAGGGAGCCAAAGGGACTCTCCTGTCAGGCAAGATAGCCAGGGGAAAGAAACTTAAGTGGACTTCCAGAAACTAAGATCTCTTCTGATTTGGGTCTCTCAAGATCATCCCAGGTCAGCCTCACAGCCAGGATCCCAGAGGAAAAGGAGAAGGGGTCCCCCTAAAACTGGGAGCACCTGCTGGCCCCACGGTATTCTTCCCCATCCTCTTCCCTCTGAACTCTTCACCCCACCTACCTGGCCCTGTCCAGGCCTGGGAGGGGCCCAGGTGAAGCAGGGGGGCTGGGCCAGGTCCTAGGACATTCTGTTCTTTTTGACACCGTTGGCTGCTAGGCCAGGAATGTGTAATGTCCCCTGTTGTGGTCACAGGGTTGCAGGAATGTGGGCACCAGAGGTAATGTGGGCGTGGGGGCCAGGCAGAGCTCTGTGGGCACAGACCAAGAGCCCAGGGGCAGGCAGGGATGGCAGACACTGGGAGAGAGCAAGAGCTGTGCCCATGCTGGTATCCAGGGCAAGAAGGGTGGGCACACTGTCCTAGAAGGAAGAAGAGGCTACTTCACCAGGGATGTGTTTTTCTCCAAAACCTCCCTCTCCAACTAACCCAGCAATTGGAGAGAGATGCAAGCATCAGGTAATAAGCAGACAGGTTTGAAGCCTCAGATGCTCAGACCCCAAAATAGGAGGTGGGAGGAACCGTAGGAGAGCCTTTCACATGGTCCGGGCTCTGCACAGTTTGCTGGTGATAACCAGTGATAGCCAAGCTTGAGCCCTGTGGAAGGCAGCCCCGGTGGCCCGGTGTGCTCACTGGCATTTCCTACCACATACCTTCTCTCCGGCGCAACAGATATAAGCGTTCTCTGTGCCGCAGACCTGCAGACACAGACCTGAGCGCCCACAGAAGCTCGTGGGAAGAGCCGGGTCTGCATAACAAGCAGTTGAAATATAGTGAGATAAGGGCTCTGGGGGCAGAGATAAGAAGCAAGGGCTGGGGGACCCTGGGGGAGGCAGGAGGAGGGACACATTTCAAATGATGCCCTGGCATAGCAGATGGATCTTGAAGAACAAGGGGTTTATCAGACAAAGAAGAGGGTCCGCCTCACCTCATCCTTAAAACAAGAGCCTGTGGACCAGGGTTTCACCCGGTAGCTAAGCTGTTGGTCAGGTGCCTTGACAGACATTCGTGAAACCTCCCGTAAGAAGGGGGAGGCTTGCTCTTTCTTCATTTTTTTTTTCAATTTTTTTTTTTCAGATGAAGAAACTGACCCTCCAAAACAGCAACCCAGTTCTCTGAAGTCTCAGAGCCAAACAACAGCAGTAATAAGCAAAATTCAAAAAGCTTCTCCTCTGAGGTGGCCTCCTGCCCTTTACCTTCTGAGACAGAGCAACCGTAGACTCCTAGGGAACCAGACCTCCATCCAGTAGGGGCTCAGTCAGAGGCCATGGATCGATCCATCAGCTGGTGAGGCACTGGCGGCTGTGTGTCTCTGAACTGATCCCACCCCATCCACATCCCCAGCCACCCTTAGAAGAAACTCCATTCTCCCTTGACCGGAGCCCTTACACTAGTGTCCTGCTGGCAAGGTGCCCAGTTGCCCTGACTGTTTGATCTGCGAGGTTCTGAGAAGCTAACTCCTCCCTGCCTCTTCTGTTTGCTAACTGAGCCTGAAACCCGAGTACAGGCTTACGGCAGCCTGACAAATGGTTTTCCTCTCAAGGACTCTGTGAGAAAGTCTGGTCTGAAGAGCGTGGTGACTCTGGCATGTCCTGACAGAGTACAAGAGTGGCTTGGCTTGGAGACCACAGTATTAGGGATCTGGAATGGGCTAGGGCAAGCCTGTTGTGAAAACAGGTATTTGAGGACTATACTTTGGTCAGAGCCCCATTTCAAATATTACACTCGCATACACACACACACACACACACACACGCGCGCACACGCACACGCACACGTACACGCACTCTCTCCCTCCCAAACCAGGGGATCCTTCTGTAGCCTATGCTGGCCTGGAACTCACAGTTTCCAAGTGCTGAGGCTGCGGATACATTGTTGTCATGGTATAGTTTCCCAGCAGGGCAGAAGTACATGAAACAGCAAAAGCTTCCTGTTGTCCCCTTTCCTTCCCCAGCCCAAAGGGACCCACTATGGCTTGTTCATTGGTTCCCTCTCTTTCTGTGTCTTTTAGACTTACATGTTTTGTGGTGTTGTATATTGAGACAGGGTTTCAATGTATAGCCAACCTAAACTTGCTTTATAACTCAAGCTGGCCTTGAATTTATGATCCTCCTGCCTCAGCCTCTCAAGTGCTATGATTACAGATATGTACACTGTGCCAGTTCACATGTACTTCCAAAAAAACAAAATATAAACAAACAAAAAACTTTAAAAAATCCTAAACGGGGGGGGGGGGGGGTGGGGAAATAAAGGTTAAGAGCATTGCCTGCTCTTCCAAAGGTCCTGAGTTCAATTCCCAGCAACCACACAGTGGCTCACAAGCATCTGTAATGAGGTCTGGTGCCCTCTTCTGGCCTGCAGGCATACACACAGACAGAATATTGTATACATAATAAATAAATAAATAAATAAATAAATAAATGTTTAAAAAAAAAATCCTAAGTGGGACTTATCATATAGGCATCGCTCTTCAACTTTCATTTTTATTTGTTTGTTTATTCATTGATTTTATTTTGTTTGTCTTTTTTCTAGACAAGGCTTCTTTGTGTAACAACTCTGGCTGTCTTGGAATGTCCTTTGTAGACCAGGCTGGCCTCGAACTCACAAGGGATCCACCTTCTTCTGCTTTTCAAGTGCTGGGATAAAAGGCATGCACCGCCACAGCCTGGCTCCATTTTTAAACTGTTTGTCTTTGAAAGGCACTTTTAAGCCAGGCTTAGTGGTGCATCCCTTAGGGGCAGGTGAATCTCTATGAGTGGTGTGCCAGGCTGCCTAGTTACAAAGACCCCTTGCTGGGCACATGGGGGATCTAAGGCCTCAGGGCCACCCACAGTTGAGATGAGTTGTTTCCCAAGTCTGATGCTCCTTTCCTAACTTCCAGAAGAGTAGACTCTTGTCTGGCATTTCAGGGACATTTTTTTTTTTAACCTTGTCTCAGAAAGATCCACTTCCCAGGGCTTCCTGTTGCCTCTCCCAGAGCTCCCAACCCATCCCTTAAGTAAGGGGCTGCCTTCCCTGCCCCGTGCCAGCCACCCACCAACTGTTAGTATGGCCATAAACTATGCAGTGGCTATAGGGGAAGAAGTGAACCTTCAGGGTCTGCAGGGGCGGGCATTAGGATTGACAGCTCGTCCTGCCTCTCTATCCCAGAGACAGAAGGCTAGAAGGAATCACTTTCTCCTCCACACTTCCAAGGAAAGCCTACCTCAACACCTCCTGATGTTTACCGCTAATGAACTGGCCCACATGTGCCCCTGTGTTTACATGCGCATGCCTACAAGTGTGTAGACCGTTTCACGAGTTCTCCGAGGACAAGCACCAGGTTAATTTGTCTCGGTGACTTCAGTGACAAGTGGCTGCTGTTTTTGTTTTGTTTCTGAGCTACTCACCGTGGGGCCCACACTGCTCTCACGTTCTTGATCCTCCTGCCTCATCTTCCAAGTGCCAAAGTTACAAATGTATGTCTCCATGCCCAACTTAATGGTCACTACTTGTTGACCCACTCTGCAGACAGCAGAATTTCACATCTTGGCTAGGATCCAAGGTTTATCTTTGACAGAGAGGCACGTGCACTGGAAAACATCAAACACCTTGACTTCCTCAGATAGTCCATTGATTTGTGGTATTTTTTTATTGTTTTTGTTGAGCTATATGTTTTTCTTCACTCCCCTCCCTTATTCCCTTCTCCCCTCTTCCATGATCCCCACGTTCCCAATTTACTCAGGAGATCTTGTCTTTTTCTCCTTTCTATGTAGATCCATGTATGTCTCTCTCTTAGGGTTCTCTTTGCTGCCTGGGTTCTCTAGGGTTGTGGGTTATGGGCTGATTTTTCTTTGCTTTATGTCTAAAAACCACTTATGAATGAGAACATAATTTATTTGTCTTTCTGGGTCTGGTTACCTTACTCAATATGTTTTTTTTCTTTTCTTTTCTTTTCTTTTCTTTTTCAAGACAGGGTTTCTCTGTAGCTTTTGGAGCCTGTCCTGGAACTAGCTCTTGTAGACCAGGTTGGCCTCGAACTCAAGAGATCTGCCTGCCTCTGCCTCCCGAGTGCTGGAATTAAAGGCGTGCGCCACCACCGCCCAACTTCAATATGTTTTTTTCTAGATCCATCCATTTGCCTGAAAATTTCAAGATGTCATTATTTTTTTTTTTACCTCGGTGTAGTACTCCTTTGTGTAAATATACCACATTTTCTTTATCTATTCTTCGACTGAGAGACATATAGGTTGTTTCCAGGTTCTGGCTATGACAAATAATGCTGCTATAAACATGATTGAGCACATATCCTTGTGGTGCGATTGAGTGGCTTTTGGGTGTATACCCAACAGCAGTAGTGCTGGGTCTTGAGGTAGATTTTTTTGATTTGTGGTATGTTAATTTATTGAAATTTCCTCCACTTTTCCCTTTTCAGCTTTTATGCTTTCTAGTATCAAAACAAGTCACCCACTTAAATGAACCCCTTTACTTTTAGATTTAGTGCTAACTACAAGGCTGTCTACTAAGGCAAACAGCATCCTTTTTTTGTTCCTTTATGTGTAGAACCCTAATGTGATGGTCCAGAAGATTTCTCTCTGCCGTCCTCAGTTTAGTGACCTGGAAAGATGCTTAGGAGTTCCTCACTAGAGACTTATCCCTTTGGTCAGTGCAGGGCTTAACAACTTCAGCACTGCTGGCATTCCTAGCCATGCAATTCCTTGTTGTCTGGGCCTGTCTTGCACTGCAGGTCACAGTAATATCACTGGCCTCTCTGCACTAGGTGACAGTAAGAATTCCAAGCAGTTGCAACCTAGAACGCCTTAAGATATTGCCAAATGTCTTCTGGGGAGCAAAGTTACCAAGACTGAGAATAACTAGGTAAGGCTTTGTTCCCAGTGACATTTCAAACACTGGGAAAGCCCACTTCTCATGTGTTAACGTTCACTTCTGTCTCCCAGCCCAATTGGGCTGGCTAAAGGCATCAACTGGCTAAGAGAAATGTGAGGAAGAAGACGGGTATTTAGAGGGACCCACACTCCAATTCTTGGGGATTACTCATGGGCCGCGGGGAGAAGGGTAGTTCAGTAAGCCTCCGTGAAGGAGACCTGGGAAAAGAGCCCTTCACGCCTTCTGAGAGTCTCCCCATCTGGTGTGTCCAGTGGACATCAATCAAAGTTTCCAGGAGGTAGGAAAACAGAGAAGAGGAAAGAACAAAGATGACGCTGTGCTTGCTCAGAATTGTAAGTTTCTCTCCCCGAAGTCTCTGCCCTCCTGAAGAAGGTCGGAGGGGCAGTGTAGTAACCATTTGTATTAAGAGTTGTCTGTCTGCAGTCCCTGTAGGCTGCCAGGTCTGGTTGCATCTCCCCACCTTTCTGAGTTCTGATTGGGAAAGTATCCATATTCCCACATTTACTGGTAGTGATAATTTGTTTGTGTTTTAGCAAATAAAGCTTTCCCTGGAGATCAGAGTGCAGAGCTAAACCACTAGAGGCCAGCAGTGGTGATATACACCTTTAATCCCAGGACTTGGGAGATAGATGCAGATGGATCTGTTTGTTCTAGGCCACCCTGGGCTCCACGAATTTGATCCAGTCTTTAAGAGAAACAGCTCACAGAAAGTGGTCCCAGCACTTGGGATCCCACAGGAAAAGACAGGAGGAGTTCATTGCAGTCTGAGGCAGCAGTCTGGGGAGGCAGTCTGAGGACAGCATTGCCCTTTTGGTCTCAGGATTTGGTAGAGGTAAAAGGTCTGTCTAGTGGCTGGCTGCACTGCGTCTCTGATCTCTCAACTTTCCCCCCCTAATATCTAACTCCGGGCTTTTATTATTAAGACCAATTAGAATTGTGTTACACTTGCCATATACACATACAAATAAATAAGTGAAAAAAAATTCAGGTGAGAATCCACTCATCTGTATGTGAAGACTGAGCTTTAAGATGCACACACTATGTGAAGGAGGAAGACCAGCCATGAGTTAAAGCTAGGTAATGACCATAAGGTGAGCCCCAATACTATTTGCTCTCTCTTTGGACAGTACATGGGAAGTTTTCCTAATA